GATTTCTGGGCCTCATCCTCCGGAAATTCTGTTTTTTTGTTATGGGGTGAGGCCACAAATTAGTAACAAAGAAACAGAATTTCCGGAGGATGAGGCCCAGAAATCTGGATTTTAAAGATTCCCAGGTGATTCTAATGTGCAGCCAGGGTTGAGAACCACTGATCATGATGTTCCAGCCTGATGGGGAGTCAGACACAGACATTAAGCAAAGGAGCCTCCAAACAAGCATGTAATTACATTGTGGGGAATTGTGTGACATGTGGGAGGAAAGCAGAGGGAGTTGTGGGAGGTCCCAGGTCGGAAGGAGGAGCAGACACTGCCCAAGTGGAGGAGGAACGGCACCCCTGGCTGAGCAACAGCGAGTTCAAAGGCCCTCAGGCGGGAGACAGGAGGGCGAAGCTGGGGAAATGCCAGGTGGATCAGGGCCTCCTTCCCGAGTCAGGAATTGGGAGGGACAAACCGCATTTACTGGAAGAGTAAAAGAGGCGCACCTGCATCCCAATCCTCCACGGCCATGTCCTCCCTCCACCTGCCCCCTCCCTACTCAGGGGCGAGGGCTCTGGGCAGTGCCCGGCGGAGCCACCCCAAGGAGCTGCCCCTCTGCTGCTGGCACCAGCTTCTGCCGGGTGGGAGGGAGATGCGGGGGGCCCACTGGGCAGGTCCCCCAGCTGGATGCCGGAGAGGCCAGCCACGGTGGGGTGAGTTGACCAGAGGGACATGCCAGCCTCATGAGCGGCCCCAGCCGGAGGCTTGGCTCTGAGCTCAGTGATTATAAATAAACTCCCTGTGTGGGAGGCTCCGGGGCGACAGCTGCAGCCCAGCCCCCTGTACCCTGGCCCCTTCCCACCGCCCAGCGCCGGGGGCTCCAGGCCTGGAGGAGGGAGCTGCCCGGGAAAGCCTCCTAGATCCCCTGCCGCGTCTTGTCACCTCCGGAGCCGGGGTCCCGGGAGGAGGGGGCTCCCTCCTTACGCCCACCCTGACCCCCACCCCCACCCAGGGGACACTATGTGACCCAGGCCGATTCCCCACCCCGGGGAGGCCCCCGCCCCGCCCCGCTTCCCGCGGGCCCGCACTCACACCACCAGGTAGGTCAGGATGGAGACCTGCAGCAGCCGGTAGAGCAGGCCCACCTTCTTGTTCTTGGCGATGACATATTTCTCGGTCTTGTAGTCGAACAGCGACTGGTAGAGCCCCTTGCAGCTCGCCTGCCCCATGGTGCCGGCTCACCTGGGCCTGGGAACCGCGCCGCCACGCGCGTG